CGAAGAGGAAGGCAGTGGACTGCGGGATCGCAAGAGTGTTGTCTTGTGCAGGGCAGCGAGGACGAAGGCAGTTTAGGGGTGCTGACAGGAAGGAGAAGGCAGAAGTGGGCGACAACAAGTCGGAAGGAAGGAGTACGGAGGATGGGAAAGTCGCGGATAAATACCACCTCGAGAGTGAGATATAGCCAGATCACCGCTTAACCTTTGGAAAAGAATCATCACTTCTGAATAAGATACAACTGGGGCAACAGTCGCCCTTAAATAGAACCCTAGATTGGAAAATTTGGAGACACTGATTGTTGTTCTAACAGAAAACTCACAAAAAATAACCCTAGACTCTCACAAAAGTGAATTTATAATAATATGATAATTAGGAGCGGGCTAAGGAACCAATAGACACTCCCAAAATAGTGAAATGCTTGGACTGGTTCCATCCAGGCAAGCGGACAGGAGTTTGTGGGTCGCAAGAAATCCCATGCGTGGGAGGCGCTCGTATTAGTTCTATAGATCCTAGGAAATCTTGTGTGAGCGAGATGCCCACATCCGTCGAAGCTTCTACCTCCTCATAGTTTCAGGTCGACCCCATTGAAGGTAGCAGAAATATCACAAGTACGTCAATTTTGTAGGCATTTTCATTCCAAAGCACAGCTTGATAGTATAAATATCCATCCATTTTGTCACAACCTATGCTGGAGCTACATATCAGCATAGATTCTTACGGGCTAAATCCCAATTGAGTAAATCTATAATATGCTTCTCCCACTTTTGGTTCTCGGCTAAATATAGCTGATAAACAAGTTGTTAGGAAAAGTTAACTCTAGAACGACAATTAGGACAGACTGGGCCACACTGAAGTGTAATTACTGAGGAAAGGTCTCTTTTTTTTCTTATAAAGCATTTGGATTCCACTATAGAATGTTCTTCTTTTCAGAGATCCTAAGGTGAATTCAACACTGCAGATTATCCATCCTATCTAATCAATTGTCGATGAATACACTGCTAAATTAATTCTACTATCCAAATGATTTTATATAGTCTTCCAGAAGTGGTACAAAGAGTCTCATTTTTGACATGTTGAACCACCCTTAGTAAGGGCAACTCAGAAAGTAGATTATATATCTGAAAAGCGTGAAAGTCTCTTACATGATGTCATATTTCTGGTGTCGGATCCTCGGACTTAAGTTCATCCTGACCGCCAAGTTAATTTTGTTGGAGTCTCTCTCATAAGCTTAGCCTGACCTACATGTTTTTCTCCCTCGGCAATTGGATTCTAGTGCACCTCCTTTGTGTCCTTACTTTCTTCAGTATTTACTATGTTATTGTCTATTTTTTCGATTGCTCCCTGCTCAGCGAAATAGATCATTCTCCTAGTTGGACAATCTGATTCAATATGCCCAAACCCGTGATACTTGAAATACTTCCTTGTCGCTTTGATGGATTTGGCGATACGGATTGGTTCAACCTGCTCTCTACTCGAAACTAGTCTCCTCAGGCGAGGTTGGCCTTCATGTTTGGCTGGGTATACCCTTGCTACTTGATCATGGGGTTGAACTCTGTATTTTAATTGTATTGGTCATCCTGTGACGTTATCTTTCTCACTTTTGAAGTTTGGGTCTGAACATTCTGTTTGTAATGAATTGGTAGGTACCAGCGTTGTATTTCTCATTTTATCTTAAAGAACAAGTAGTAATTTTACTATTCCCATCTCACTAGCAAAGAATCTTTGAGTTCTCCCATAAAAAAGATGCACTATTCCTTAACATGCTTGCGGGTAGTTCCACCATTCAGTCAAGTGGGACATCCTATCACTCAAAGACACATTTCACTCTCTAAAACCACTCGATGAACTCATCCGATCCATGTGGCTGTCAAAATATGACTTCTACTTTTATTTAAAAATCTTGGATTCTCTAATATTTCATGCCATGTCTTCAAGGCAGTGGTTTTTCATCTCTGAAATTTGCCTAGTGGAAATGATTCACTGTATTCTTTTGATCTAGCAAATCACTGTTGTGGCTATGAATGATCCTCCCATATTGTTTCCTCTCAAAGACGGCAAGCTTTGTTGCAATTGGAGGATTTTTTGTCACACATCCTATATAGAAGGTTCTCAGACATCTCTTAGCGGATTTTATGAAGCCAAGATTGTGCATTTTTTTCTCAAATAGGTCTCCGACAATTGTCTTTTTGGTGTAGTGATTGGAGTTTAGGTTTGGGTAGATGAAAAGTGTATAGCGATAATGTAGGGTGGAAAAGAAAATTTTTGAGTGACCGGTTTGAAAAATCAGCAAAAAGAAAAATTTTTGTGTGAAGGTGGGGTTAGGTATGGGTTGGGGTTATGACCAGGGTTAGACTAGTATAATATCAAATAATAATAGGAACACAAATATTATTACTGAAAAAATCAAATAGTTGGTTATAATCAAACAAACACTAAAATGGAAAATACAGAAACACAACACAAACTCATACTATGATCCAATTCGTGTGTGGTGGGGTTTAGCTGAATGGTGGTAGGTGGTTGGAATGGGTTGTTGGTTTATTGGAATTTGGCAAAGGAGGGGCTAGAATTGCAATGGCAGCGAGGCAGAAGTCTTGGAACAGTAGTTGCAGTGAAGTGGAGGGCTGGGAAAGTGAGGGACGAAGAGGAATGGTTGTGAACTGTAGAAGAACAAGCAGAGTGTTGTCCTGTGCGGGGACAACAAGGATGAAGGCGGTTTAGAAGTGTTGGCAGTAAGGATAAGGTGGCATCAAGTCGGAAGAGAGGAGTGTGAATGATGGTAAAGCCGAGGATAAATACCACTTTGGGAGCGAGTTGCAACCGAAGTACCACTTGATTCTTGGAGGAGAATCACTGCCTCGGAACGAGATATAGTCAGAGCAGCACTCGCCCTTGGACACAACATTAGAAGGAAAACTTGGAGATGTCAACGACTGTTCCGACAAAAAACTCACTAAAAATTAATCTTAGACTCCCATGAAAATGAATTTATAATAATAAGATAACTATGAGTGGGCAAAGGAATTGGCTGACACTCCCAAAACAAAAAAAAAAGGTTTGGACTAGTTCAGTCTAGTCAAGCAGACGGGAGTCTGCGAGATGCTGGAGACATCTGCATCAGTTTTGCGGATCATGGGATATCCCGCATGCCGGAGACGCCCGCCTCAGGCCTTTTATCATGATGTTTAATTTGAGTAGCATACAATCTTTGTACTTTCAAATTTGTAATTCATTTTTCCTTTTGTCAGTTATTTCAATAATTCTATTTATTTTATAAAATATATGTATGTGATATAATATTTAATCCTATGATACATTTAATAAAAATATTTAAAATAATTAATTTTATATTATCATGTTATATTTTGTATATTACTTTTCATATCCTATTTTTTAAAGCTACAATTGATCGTCTTTGTAGCATTCTATTTCTAGTATTTATTCTCATATTTTTTTGTGCATTATTCTATAATGATTTGATGAGTATAAATAGGCCCCATGGAGATTTCTAGAGACAATACAATGTTAAAATATGAGTTTTGATAAAATTATCTATTGGTTATTCCTTAAAATCAGTTAGCTCATGATATTCTCATGACTTTTTGTGTACTTCGTTCTTGCAAGCTCTATTTATAAAACATTTATAAAAAAAGAATTTATGCTTGGAATTTTTAACCTTTTGAATGCAATGCAACTTTTAAATTCAAAGATTTCCTCTGATGAATGAATTAGATATATATATTTATATATATAGATATAGATATTGATATATATAGATATAGATATCTATCTATATATATCTGTGTGTATGCGAAGTGGGAAAATGTCTCATTTGTCTTTTCATTTTTGAGATGCTTTCCATTTATATTTTCTTCGGGAGTGTTCCCAAAATGAGGATTTCACTACTTTGGCATCATAATTTAAGACCTTTCAATTTTTTCTCAAGTAAGATCAAGCTCTTTGGAGCATGTTTTTTCACTGTAGGAGTAATATTATACAATCTTGAATTTTAGTTGAATTGTTATATTTTTTTTAGTTCATTTTCTGTATTTATTTTAATTGCGTGTTAGAAATGTTTGATGATTTAGGTTTAACTTATTAGGGTTTTTTATTATAAATAGAAGAGGTCTAAAGGTCGTGTAATAGTTTGTTTGAGGATTTCACATTATGATTATTGAGTGAAATAATGCTTTGTTTGATCTCTTCTTCTTAGACTGCATGCTATGTTCATTCTCCTCGTAAATTGTGTTCTTAGATTTCTTTCCCTCCCCCATCTTTTCTAAACTATTCATGCTTTCTGCAAATCCTCCACTATGTCAATCTGCATCAATTTTTTTCAGACTAAGTTTTTGAAGAGCAGTGGATCACTAAAATAAGTTTATGGCGAGGTGCCCATATACAGAAGCATATGTTTTTATAATTTAAATTCATTTGTTAGTTGGGATTAAAAAAGGTTCATTTATGTTGTGAAAAAGTGAAAAACAAGGGAGAAAAGGAGAAAGACTTGTGCTAGTTCTTGTTAAGGAAGCATGCTCTCTCTTCAATTCATGCATGGGAAAGTTTCTGTTGTCATTGATTTGTTCTATTTCAAAAACTTCTTATTGCCTTTCTGATTCAAATCCATGGGAAAGACGAAAAGGTTTTCAATTCATTTCTTTGGAATTCGAAGGTGATTTGATGTCAAGAACGATGTATGTGTCAAGCAAGTAGTGAAGTCCTGGTGGCTAAGCTGGAATGAAGGACAAGTTAAGATTGTTCTTCTTATCTTCTTATGGATAGGAACTTTTATCAATCGCTTAAACCAACTCAGAAATATGATACATAAGAGACATTGATGGAAATGCAATAAACAGCGAATCATGTAGTTTTTTATAAAACATTGTGCTATATTCTACTTGCTTTGTTCCATTTGTCTTCGCTTATATTGTTTATTGCCATACCTGCAAGATAATTTGGAAAGTTTAAGGTGATTGACTATGTAAATACTCTGATTTTTCAGTGGTTCAGGTCAAAAAAGTTGTGAAGTGACGGAGCGACCGACATTAGAGGCTAAAGGGAATTTGAGGAGCGAATTCACAGACATTATAGATGAGGTGGTAGCAAAAATAAATGTCCCAGTCACCATTCTCAATGTTACTATGATGGGAGCATATCGTAGCGATGCCCATATAGGCCCATGGAGTCATCCTTCATCCATTCTTGATTGCAGCCATTGGTGTCTTCCCGGCGTGCCGGATGCTTGGAATGAACTTGTATTTGCGTCTCTTTCCCAAGACAGTAAGTTCCTGTTTTGTTTTTTTGTTATAAAATGGGTTGCTTGCTCTTTTGTAAGATGAATTGTAAGACTAGCATGCTTCAAATTGCTATCATATTAATATTATCATATATGCTAAATGTTTATAGTAATAATCTCAATAGTTACTTTTTGAATTCCAACTAAAATGCAGAAACAGCAAAACTAAGAATGCAGAAGTTCACAACTGAAAGGAAAACATGAAATTAAGAGCATAATAGAAATTCAGAACTACATTCTCATCGTCCCTCTCTTAGACAGATACATTCAATATTTATATTCATAGAAGAAGTGTGTGGAAGGAGACAACTCCTGGACCACTGCAGATTCAGTTATGGATAGAGATAAAGATCAAACCAAATAGTTATATATGAATAGCTGTGATTGAATCCAGAAATATAGGGCTGCTCCTTGTTGTGTGCGCATATGGATAACCAGAACACAATATCAGCAGATTACAATAACTTATCATTATTCATAGGCTTATTACTGCCCCTCAAGCTAAGAGGTCAAGCATGGACTGTTAGCTTGTCTCGAAGATGTTGAAACGAGAAGTTGAAAGAGCTTTAGTAAAAATATCAGCTATTTGAACTTAGGAGTTGATGTGATGAACAATAATATCATTGGACTTGATGTAATTCCAAATATAGTGAAAATCAATGCAATGTGCTTAGTTTGGGATGAAAAACTAGATTGTTGGCTAAAGCTAGTGCTGAGATATTATCATAGTATAATTTAGTACATTCAGAGGTAGAAATACCAAAATTTTGAATCAAACTTTGTTGCCGAAAAAACATCAGCGACTATTGTGGCAAGAGCCTGATATTCTGCCTTTGTTGAGAATGGAGCAACAATGGATTGCTTTTTAACATACCAAGAAATAAGTTCTGCCGAAAGGAACAATAACTAGTAGTCAATTTCCTATCAAGCAGATCTCCTGCCCAATTGGAAATTCAGAAAGATTAGAGGATGAGAGAGCCTCCATAGATTGGTAGACCATGTTTGAGAGTCTCCTTAATATAGTGAAGTAATTGTTTAAAAACTTGAAAATGTTAGTTTGTGTAGCTTGCATATGTCGACATAGCTTGTTGACGGTATAAGTAATATCTGGTCTAAGTAGCATAAGATATTGAAGAGACCCAACAAAATGAAGATAGAGACTAAACTGAGAGTAAGCCCTACAAATCTGTGCTTCAGGAGATATTTTGATTGGAATTGGAGTAAGAACAAATTTGCACTCAGACATATCTAACTTGGTAAGCAGCTTATGGGTATACTGAGTTTGATTCAAATGCAAACCATCGGATGTCTATTGGACATGAATGCCAAGAAACAGGTTTAGAGAACAAAGATTCCTCAAATGAAATCGATTGTTAAGTTGAGCAATAATCCAGTGAATGGCATTATTATCATTATTAGAGATTAAAATATCATCAACATACACAAGAATATAGAAAAATGTTGTAGTATCGTGATGAATCAATAAAGTCGCTAGCTTTACTTGTTCGGAAGTTAAGCATATGTAAATAAGTATTTAAAGGTGGCAAATGTCACACCACAACTGACTCTCCTTAAGGGTTAACTGCGGTGAGATAAAGATGGAAAATTCACTCAGATTAAATTTTCACCAGCATTCGCCCTGACTCGCAGAATCATAACTCAATGGGTGATGAACTAGTCTAACTAAATCATTGCAGATATACATAATATATTTAATTCTATAATTCATTCACATTCACATGTACTCAGAAGCATGGAAAATGATATCACCAAAATACACACGCACAGAACTGCTAAATTTAACATAATAAAAACACGTACTCAAAAGTTTATATAAGCTCCCAAAACTATAAAATACAAAATTTGTATATGTCACACTTGGCTACTCGCCCTGGTGCTTACCCCTTCTTGAAGTCAACAACGTAGAATGAGTTACAACAAACTCAATGAAATAATCAAGGTTAAAATAAAATTTTACAAACAAGAAAGAAATAATGTGTATGCTCATATGTAACCCATGTACATGTCTACAAAACATGTCACAAGATGTTTTAATCATATTAAACATGTAAAAGAAAAGACATGTAATGCAAGAAATTATGATTTTAATATAAAACATTTTCATCCATTCATATGTGATCATAAGCATATTCATAAGTGTCATCAATCTAATTATATGAATGTCACTTGTAATTGTATAAGTCTCAACTATTTCTATATCTTGTTTGTTATAGTTCATCAGTCAGTCCTAAAGACTACATTAATTATCGATACAGACTGGGTTCCTCCCAACATAGCATTTATCAATAACCCAATGTTACTAACGGTATCCCACATTTCGTCCCTGCCTGATCCCAGCAATCCTCAAAAGTCCTGACTTCATTTGAATACCAGAAGTCAGGAATTATATTATTCTCTATCATCCATACTTGCATGTATTCTTGTAATAGTCTACATATAATATCACTTGTGATATTTTTTAAATATATTTGTTGTAACAAACATTCATCATAAGTATTTCATACATCATATGCATGAATCAGAGCAAACGAATACTATGGAGGATCACTTATGATACTTACATAAGGTTTTTGAGGTGCTTCAAATAGCCAAGTTATATGGTCCCTCAAAGAAGTGTCAGCTTTTGACTGCAAAGGCTTGTTTCCCTCCATATGGCGTATCAACACCTGGCATTAAGATTGATTCAGCCAAGTCTTAAGCATTTATCAACTTGCTCGGTTCAATGTCATTCACTCAAGCAAGCCAATATTAAGGATTGACATCTTTCTATAAGAGGTTTATTAGAAATTTCTGCTAGATAGTAGCACCCTTGATGGAGCTTCTCGAATTAGATAGATTCACCTAGTCAGATGAAACATACATTAGTTTTGATATTTTGAAGAAATAGGTTACTCAAGCCCCAATTCTAGCTCTTTCAGATTATAATCAGGTGTTCGAGATAGAGTGTGATGCATCAAATGTGAGAATTGGAGTTGTATTGTGTCAAGGCGGACATCTTATTGCTCTCTTCAGTGAAAAGTTAAATGAGTTTAGAAGAAAGTACTCTATCTATGATAATTAGTTTTTTCCACTGTGAGAACTCTCAATCATTGAAGTCATTATTTGCTGACAAGTAAGTATACTCTTTACATTAATCACGAAGCTTTGAGGTTCCTAAATAATTAGAACAAGTTGAAAGGTTAGACATGCCTCTTGGGTGGAGTTTTTTTATTCCTTTCATATTGTGCCCAAGTTTAAAGTTGGAAGTCAAAATAAGGTGGTTGATACATTGAGTCATTTTCACTTGTTGATCACTATCACGCAGTTGAATATAGTTGCTATCACACAGTCAAATATAGTTGGTGTTTAAGTGTTGAAAGATTTTTATGCCACTGATATTGAATATCAGAAGATTTGAACTCATTGTCGGGATTGGCCATACAACCAGTACCATGAATCCGATGGTTATTTATTTTGTTAAAACTAGTTGTGCATTCCTAGGAGTTTACTAATGGAATTTAGTTTATAGGAGTGCCACAATAGACGTACGGTTGGGATTTTTTGGCAGTGAAAATATACTTTATTTAGTGAAAAAGAGCATTTATTGGCTCAAACTAGTACGAGAAGTGGAGAGACATCGGATTGTGCAGAATATATCATTTAGCCAAGACTTGAGGATAAAATATGGGTCTTTATATGGCCCTACTTATTCCGAAGCTGTCTTAGGTGAACGCGAGCTTTAACTTTTTGGTGGGTTTGCCTCAAACACGATGAAATAAGGGCTTTGTTATTATAGCGGTTGATCGTTTCTCTAAGGTGGTGCACTTTGTAGCTTGCCACAAAATGATATAATTCACACATTGCATATTTGTACCTTAGAGAGGTAATCTGCCTACATGGTGTGCTTGTGACCATCATTTCAGATAGGGATATGAAGTCCTTCGGTCATTTCTGAAAGATTCTATGTGATAAGTTTGGTACAAGATATCAGTTCAATTCAGCAGCTTACCCGCAGAAGGATGGATAGACAAAGGTGGTAACTTGCAATTGGGGTAATTTATTCAGGTCTTTTGTGGGCAAGAATATTAGACAATAAGATTTTATTCTCTATTAGTTTGAGTTTGCTTATAATCGTTTCATCAATCAGTCCATAGGTTAGTCTTTTTGAGATTGTGTTTGGGCGGAATCTCCTCACACCATTGTAGTTAGTGTCGATACTCTCCTCTACTGAGTTTAGAACTGATGCCGAGATTAGAGTAGTAGAGATTGAAAGTCTTCATGACCAGGAGAGGAAAGAAAAAGCACACATTTATTATACATGAAGAAAAAGCACAACCTATGACATGGGAAATCCCACGATGTCCTGTTCAGACACGGGGGATCAAAACAGTCCAGGGGAGAGTGGTTCAAGCTAGTTCCGCCTCGAAGGGCTGGCTGACCCCCTTAGGAGTCCCAAATTACGTTATTTAAATTATTGTTAGGGTTAATTTGCATAGAAACATATAAAAATGTTTCTTTTGAACTTATTGGACAATTTTTTTGGTTTTGGTTTATGTGCTTATGGATTTTTTCTCTATTTTTTATCCTACAAGAGTTTTGTATCATTTTCCTCATGCAAATGGTGTGTTATTCATGACTAGGTATCACTGTGTTGGTTGTATTACCTATTGTCTTCACCCATGGGCCATGCAGTAACCGAAACACTTGTCCTGTGACGGATGCAAAAAAATCATTAAAAAGGGACACAAAATAGTTTATTCAAAATTTCCTAAACGTTTTTTTCGTCCGGGCTAAGCTTTCAATGCCTTTTAAGGATTAAAATTGTAGATCAGATCGAATATCCATAATATAAATTTCTAATTGATTATAAAAAAAAATTAAATCTATAGAACTAAAACCAATTGAATATCCATCTTTTTTAAAATACAAAATCCAAATTGCTAAGGTTACTCATTTGGGCATACATTTTCAACCTATAAAATTGTATATCAAATCGTAAAATCAAGTCTCAGTCATACACCGCCTTAGATTGCGATACTCCTTTGGGCATACATATGCTTGTTTTGATGTAAACGTAAGAACTAGATAGATGCAGTAAACAATTATCATATAGATAATCCAAATATCTAATTCAGAAAATAATAAAATCAGAATGTATAGCTAGAAAGTTATAAAATCTAAGCTACCAACCCATAACAATACATTTAAAAAATTATACTGAACTTTTTTCTTTTTTGGATTCTGTATCAGTTGTTCATTCAAACATTAAAAAGAAATCTGCAGAAGTAACCATAAAACTACATATCTTGAGCTACATTCGGCCAGACCTATGAAAAAAACCACTAAAAATATCAGAATGAAATTGATTACCATAGTAAAACTTTAACCTTTTGGATCTGTATGAATCGCCCAGTGATGCAGATATCTTAAAATTTATGTTTGCAATCTTGCAATAAACTAAGAATGTTATAAGCAGTTATCAATCACTAAATTTGCAAAATCACTAGCACGATATTTCAAAAATGGTAAGGATTATTGTTGTGAAAAGATAAGACCGAAGCGTTTTTCCGAAGGACAACATGCATCGATTAATATGTGCAAATCTTGTCAAATATTTTATAGCATACAATTTTTGGATAACTGGATCTATCATTCACAACAAATTAATATTATGCACTTACAATGTTATAAGTTTTTCCCATGCCGCATCATCAGCGGCAATGCTGGCATTCACAAGGAAATCGTCGATTAGGGTATTTGTGCCTAGAAAGGCAATCATAAAAAAACAGCCTTGGAAAGGGAATAATTGCATGAAAGTCCTCCAATCAGGAAAGCACCTCCAACTATTTCAACTTGCGAAGCACTAGAACTACCGAATCTGGCAAATAGGCTGATACTTGATCGGTTGAAACACGGTGTATCCAAGTGCACGTATCGACCAAATAATTAAGTGATAAGTATGAGATCATTCCCATGATGATCGACATAAAAATTTAGATCGAGCACTAATTTTATTTGAAATCAGATTTTATCCAATTGAAAAATTAATATTTTTGAATTTTTCTAAGAAAAGCAGAAGAAGTTATTTTTAGCATTTCAACTAACAATGGTTCTTTGAACTCATAAGTATTTAAAGTTTATGCAAATTTGTGCTAGGTTTCCCTACCTCTACTCTTTAATCTCTGTCGAGACGTAAGGAACATTAATGTTTCATATTATAGTTTAGTTGCCTAAGCCTCGTAAAAATCTCCAAGGTTTTGTTTTTCCCCAAAAGATTGCAAATCCTTAATAACTATATATCTATACTATCAAAGATTTGAGTGTCAACCCTACTATTCCTCTTATTTCCATCAAAATTGCTAGATCACAATTAATATCAACTAATATTTGACGAAAATATAAGTAAATGAAGCACACAAGATAACACAACAATTATAAAACTATTTAATTTCAAACCAATGCACAAAGTACATAATATTTCATGATAAACACTTGTCAGAGAGAATAAACTTAATTTCTACATATGATAGAAGGAAACAAACATTAGAATATGAAAATACAGAATAAGCGATGATAATTTAGAAGAAATAGAACTTTATTTAGATCTAGAAGACTAAATCCACTCTTGATCTTTTCCAGTTCCACAACCACATACACTACTCACTCACACATGATAAACATTACATATTTACTTAGTCCACTCCTACACTCATATATATGCAATACAACACAATGACACCATTAGACTACAATAGATTGCCTTTTTAGTCTTCCCCCTTCATAACCGTGAATTTTTCCCTTGATTTTGAATTCCAACTAAATAACCATTCTTGTTGGGTCGTAGCGTTGCGGCGTCTGATTTGTGGCGTTGCAGCGATGAGTCTTTAGGGTCGAGGCATTGTATAATCTATTTTTTGGCTTGTTGCTTTGGTATCGATAGCGCTGTGGCACTTAAAATATAGGGTCTGTTTGGCGCAGCTGCAGCTTCTCAACTTTTCAACTGTAGCGCCAGAAAGCTGCTGCTAGGAAGTAGCTGTGAGAAAACTTGCTGTCTGTTTAGTGCAGCTGTGTGAAAACAACAGTGGGGCAGTTGTTTCTGGAGAAATGACCAAGCTACTCTTGTTTGGTAAAACTGTTTAAAAAATTTATGTATATATGTAAAAAATTTAAATATGTAATTGCAAATCCTATTTGTAATAAATATATTTTATGGAATATGGTAGTCAAACAATAAAGACATCTCAAGTTTGTTATATAAATATTAAGGTCAAATCACTATTAATCAGGCTGAGCATTATAGCAAAAATCATGATTTGAACTAGTTCAATTTCAACCACAGCATAATTATGAAAATTAATTTGTAATACCCTTTCATATATAAAGTTGAATCTGCTAGCCTATAAAACTCATCCTCAGAGATGAGCATTTTGTCAAGACAGCACACTTTAAGCAAAAAAGGGAAAGCAACCACTAAACACACATATTTCATGGAGAGAAACAAAGTGAAAGAAATGTGAAAATTGCAGATAAAAGCCAAAACCAGTTTCATGGAGAAAAGCATAGAGCATGTGAACCCAAGATTTTTAATGTCTTACCCGTAATCAATGGCAGTCAGACCGGGATCTTCGTCCATAAGGGAAGGATGCGAACATAAGAAAGCCGCCCTACTTGAAAGGCTGGGGAACTCGAATAACAAGGGCTCAGCTCTTCTGATGGAAGAGAAAGCCGTGGGAGAAGGATGGAATGGAGATGGGAAGAGCATAGAAGGGAGAGACCTCCCTGCTTCGCAAAATATGGGCGGACGGCGACACCATGGGAGTTCTGGGATAGTAGAGGATCGATCGCCAGGAGCGCGGGGCGACGAGGTAAAAGCCGCTCGATAAAGCGGGGCAGCAGGATTTATCCCGCAGCCCGCTTTCTCCCAAGCTTCGTGGTACGTTGCCGCGAAGCCTTCTTCCAAACAGTGCCGCGGCCGAAATTTCGTCGCAGAAGGCCGCGCCGCACCCAAAAAATCAGAACCAAACAGACCCATAGTCTTATGGCGCTTCATGTTAGAGTCGTGGCACTCAAGATCTGGCTTTGGGCCTCTTTGCTAGTACTTTTGTATTGCTATGTATAAAAAACAGTCTGAGGATTTTCCTGCACAAAAATATATAAATCAGTGTATTATTTGCAAAAAATTACAAACCAACATTAATTTAGATGCAAAAATTTTTAAGTATTTTTCTTACTCAGTAATACTCGACGGTTGAGCAGTTGTGAGAAAAGAGAGATTATATCGGGCACAGAATTTTGCTCGACTCGGACGAAAATGAGGTGGCCATGCATGATGGAGTTACGCGGGATGTAGTAGTTTAGGAATAGGCTGAGAATGCGGGAATGCGGTTGGGAACGTAAGATTTTGGGAATTAATGCCTACTTTATTTCTTTTGTCATGTTACAACATCTCTTCGTTACCTTCTAAGAACTCTTTTATTATGCATATTCGTTATGATCATATTCGTTATGATGACATAACAATCAAGATCATTAGCTTGTAGAAAAATGCATTCAACTATTTTATTATTATTATTTTATTTTTGATTTCACTTATATCTTATGCAGGCTGGCACTAATCTCAAAGACGAACCATTAGCATGAAGACCATTTTTGCACTTACCCCCCCTCTTGTAATTCTATTTTGGGTATTCTTCCCGCAAAATTTTATAAAGCAGCAGCAGCAGCAGCAGCAGTAGTGTTTTTTAGCTCTTATTTTTTCAGAAGGAATAATAAAAAAGAAAAAGCAGACCAGAGAGCTGATTCGCACGTGCGAAGTGGAAATTCCTTAGTTTTTTTTTTTTAAATCTTTATTTGTGCGTGTAGGGGATCTGTAGCATTACAAGAAAATACTACAGGATATACATGGTTCGTATAAAGCTTAAATTTCATTCATTTATTTATTCATTTTTAAACATTGTTCATACCACCCCCCCTCTTAAGAGCAGCTTATTCCTTGATTATTGTTCAGGTTTGTTTTTTTGTTCTGATTTGGCGTGTATTTATTCACAAATTTGTTATTTTTTATCATTTAATGAAAAATCATGAGATGTCAAGTGATTTATTTTTATTAATATTTCGAGGAAGTTGTCTGTAATTGGATGAAATATTACGCGCGGCGGACAGTGTAAGTGCGGATTTGATGGTTTTGTGATGGTGTTCGCTACGATAACATCACAATACGAGGAATCTGCATGTGTGTTATCCGCACGTAATATTTCCTCCTACGAGTGAGAGTTTGAATTTCTTTGTTGGTTAGTGGTTTAAATTTCTAATTTTACAGTGAGTTATTTCAAAATAAATATTTGGACTTGGTTGAAATTTACGGTTTTTTTTGGGTAGTTGCAGTTTATTGAATAATCTGCTGATAAGCTGATTAAAAATAACTTGCTGATAAGTTAGATGCGGTGGCTATTGCAAATTTTTATTTTTTTTTGGAAAAGTCAGACTACTGTCAGGAAGCTACTGTCACACCTAGATAGGTGAGGTCTGACAGAAAGCTGTCACCACACCTAGATAGGTGAGGTTTGAAAACACTGTTTTCAGCCTTTTCAAAACGCATAAGCTGCCAAAACGCAGTTTATCCAAACAGGTCGGGTGCATTTTCAAAACGTCATCGCACCGAATGAACAACCCCAAACGGGCCCTAGTAATATTAACTAGCATGAAGCTAATTAGAGGATTTATTGCTTTATTTTTACTCTTTGATATTGTTAGAATAATGTAAAATTGATTAAATGATAAGTGAATAAAAGTTAGGGAAGATTTGCATACTTATAATGTATTTACACATTTAACAACATCACTTTGATATTTACATTTATACCACTATCCCCCTGTTGATAAGTGGTATTTTTGAGGTGATGTGAAAGATTGAAGTGTTATATGTATATAAGGGGTATTTAATTGTATTTTCCACCAAATTCTTATGTATTTACATATTTAACATTTAAATTTTGTTATTTACAATTATACCACCCAAATCTTGCATGTCACATAAAAATATCACTGTTTTAATTTTTACATAATTGAATTATATCTTTTCATGCATTTGTAAATAAAGTTTAGGTGTTAGATATGTAAATTCATCAAAATTGTGTGGTGTGTATTTGAAAAATGGATAAAAGAGGATTGTTGATTTGTGAATAGCATGTCATGGGTGGTCTGTATGCATGTGCCCCTAAAAATAAATATTGTGTGCTAAATAATTCTTAACAATGAAGAAAAATTAACTTTTAATTCAATACAAATGTTTAGTACACATATAAATGTCGCCTGCTGTGACTCTTTGGTTGGCCGAGTTTGAAAGATCCATGGGGTCACGGGTTTGATCCCGCCACATGTGGGATGGAATTATTAGGCACATGAGGTTGGCCAGGAGGCTCATCTAGCATTTGACCAATCATTCCAATATATATTGCGCGTTCCATGGTCTGTTGGTGGAGCAGTCTCTCTGAAGGTCATACACATATCGAAAAAGTATCTGCACTAATAGTGATCTAATGGTTTAAAAGAGAATGATACAATAGAGACAGATCCACTGCAAGGAGATTATGAGACCCTCCTAGCTGGACGAACAAAGTCAACTAGGTCAAAATCAACCCAGCCAAAAGATAAACAAGAGGATGACCAGCAAATCTAAGTACAAGTCATTCAACCTGAAACAAGACAAGAGAGGGTCTGAACTATCTACTGTAGGAAAAGCGGACTCAATGTAATAGCCTATCTGCAGTGGAGCCGGCCAAATAAAAGAACCAGTTCTATAAAATATCTCCGACCACCCAACGAAGGCCCAAAGGCTATTTATCAGAGATCGTATATAATCAACTAAGCTAGATCAGCCGACCAAGCCCTACCAACCAAGCTGACCCCTTCGAGCCAAATCAACTAAGCTTAACCAACCGAGCCCAAAAGGCAGCCAGGCGATAAGCCCACACTTGTAAAATACTAGAAACACTCCCGTACAGACCTCTTCCAAATGAGGGTAAAATATATAATATCACTATTATACTACCTCCTTTATAAATAGGAGAAATGTTCTTATGAATAATCAACACTATTCAACACTATATATTATCATTCATCTCCCTCTTCTCCCTCTATTGCTATGTATTAACATTCATATTACCCAATTCCTATGTATTAACATTCCTTACACCTATAATTTACTATCTATATTTACTATCCAAATCTTTTATATAACGAAAAATAGTTATTATTATATTAATTGAAAGTGAAATATATCTTTTCATGTATATAAAAGATGGCATACATGTAAAAAGTGAAGTTTTGGTGTTAGATTTGTAAATGCTTAAGAATTGAGTGGTTTTTATGTTAATCTTCCTAAATTTTTCCACATCGTCATCATTTCTTTCTTGCCTTTTAACTGGATTTACTGCCTACATCATCATGTTGTTGTAGCTGCCTCAACGTGGTTCACATGATCTCAAACTTTTCTTGGAAAACAGTTCTTCCTCAATAGTATATAATTCTTAGTTCATCATTTGTGTTGCAATCTAGATTTACGTTGAGTATAATTTATCAAATCCAGTGTGCGGAAGAGATGGAGTTTGCGAGCGATGATGAAATAAATCTGTCTCACAATCAGATTTAGTAAATCTTGATTCACGCTGTAAAAAAGACGAAAAGTCAAGAAAATTCTATCTAACACGCTGTTGGTTTTAATTTTCCCATATGTATATATGTATATGTGTGTGTATATGTGTGTGTGTATATATATATATATATTTTTTATTTCTTATTTAAAAGCAAAAGATTGCCTGGTTCTAGCAAATAAGATATATATACATTACAGGAATGGTCGGAGGCTATGATACGAGCCCTGGTCATTCCTCATGCGCCTATAATTTGAGTACCACACCCTCCACTAGGGGGGAATCAAACCCCAAACCAGATGGGACTAACAACTAACAAGCAGATGTCTGAACAACTGATCTGAATACGTGACACACACACACACACACACACACACACATATATA